AAAGTATACATGCTGTCCTCATCCTTATTCCGAAGTGTTGCTGACACTAAATCTACAACGTCACTCAAGATATTATGTCATCAACCTGGTGTTTCCATGCGCACTGATTGCCTGTATGGTGTTTTTAACGTTCGTGTTGCCTCCAGAATGTGGGGAGAGGATTTCACTATGTATCACTGTTCTTATGGCCATGACAATCTTCCAGGAACTTACATCGGAGAAACTACCACCCAGCTCAGATACATTCTTTTTGATCGGTAAGTGTGTACAGAGCACGCTAAATTTTGTCTAAAAAATACTACAACAAAAACAAGACTGCTTCGGTGACGAGTGAGCTCTCACATGGTCACAAAAGTCTCCCCTAACTTTTTAAGGAATCCATTCTGTAATACGTTTTAATTAAGTGATGAATTATCAGCGAATTAGGCAAATAGTAATCAAATATGTTATCACTAACATTAAATTCAGAGGATACCTTGGCCCGCAAATTGCGATGGTTAGTCTAGACGGGTAGTGATTGCATGATTTTCGTCTAATATCTTTGCTGATGAAGTCCAATAAAAGTCTTAAAGAAAATGCGAAAGAGATGCATAGACATGACCAAATGACTACTTAACGAACTGACCGTGAACTAACTAGAAATCTCTTCGCCACGAAGTTAGATTGCAAGGACGGAACCACTTATATTTTTCGACAACCAAAGACCTCTAATAGATAGATAAACACAATGAATATTTCCTCGTTACTGAATATATTTTCAGGCACTTACTACACCGTCGCCATCTTCGAAATCGGTTTAGCGATAGCAGCCACTTGTCTCGTTCTTAACTTCTACTACAGCAAAACAAAGATGCCCGGCTGGTTAAAAACGATTCTTCTCAGGACTCTGGCGCCCCTTGTCAGAGTAAAAGTCAAGAGAAGACGGCTTTCAGTCAAAGAGAGTCTGCGGTCAACAGACGGCGGGCATGCGCTCGATACAATTCACAACCCAACGTTTGAAACTTTTAACCACTCGGACAATGGCCTGGCTCTGACCTGGGTTGGGGATGTATTTGAACAAAATTCAAGTGTTTCTGTAATGTCTGTGAACTTGAGAAAAGATAGTGTCGTTGATGAAGAGATGGACTCCAAACAGAACATCAACAACTGCGGGAAGAACTGCAACGGTATTGCTGGCAAAGGCAACCATTCCATCAAACTCAAAGAAAAACTTGGTCAGGAAAAAGAAAGCACACACGAAATCATGGAACCAACTTTGCATCAGATAATTGAATGGCAAGATGAGTGGAGAGCGGCGTCGCAAGTGTTGGACAGACTCATAATTATTTCCTCTGTGATTATCGGGTGTGTTTCTGCTGCTGTTATTTTCCTGCAAGCTCCAAGAGTGAGACAAATGCTGTCTTTTTCATAGAAAAGAGGCACCAGTAAGAAGTGTGTGAGAACAAACCCAGCATATATGACAATGCATATTCTCTCTACTTTTCGGTGCAATAACGTGGGGATATTGTGAGGAAAGGACAACAACGTTCGATCCTGGAGAAAAAAAACAAAAGGCTTCCCTGAATTTCGGCTTTGTGTGTGAGCGGCAACAAAAAGTACGATGGCCCACCTCTGTCACGGCAAAAGAAATAACCTCGCGGCAAAAGAGAAAGACTCGCGACAAAAGGAGGAACCTCACCGCAGAAAGGAAAAGACTCACGGCAAAAGAAAAAACCTCACGGCCAAGACTCACCACCGTGAGTCTTTTCCTTTTGCCGTGGGGTTTTTTCCGCGAGGTTACTTCTTTTGCCGTGACAGTTGTGAGCCACCGTAAAAACGTAATAACTTGGTTAAAAAAAAACATATATTACAAAGGTTTCAAGTCTGAAATCTTCATTTAAGGGACAGCATCAATACATAACAGGTGAGAAAGAAAAACAATTTTATCGAAGAGTGAGACGCTAACTTTCATATACATTCCCGTCTAACAATATTGTAAGGTACCAAAGCCCAAAATTGTGACAAACCAGAACACGGTACTGTTAAATATTTTTAACTGCTATTTTCATTAGTGTTCACTAACATATCTTTCAAATATACATGTAATGCAGTTTTTACTATACATGTGTGACTCTCAGAGAGGAGAGTGACGCTTAATCTTTAAAAATCAAGTGGTAATGACCAAGAGAAAATTGAAGGAGAGAGAAGAACACTCTGGAAGTTTACAAAGGATATCCATGACACCTAAATTATCATTTAGTTTTAGACGGAAATGGAAAGATGCATTCTCAGACGTCAGCATTGTAATTTCTCGCTCCATAGAAACCATTCCCCCTCTTAATCAAAATCGTTTTCAGCAACAAAACCGATTACAGCGCTTTCCACCATCAAATTGCTTCCACTCAGGAATCCTTGATGCGGACCTCTCGGAATACAGGTTTCCATTTTGGAGGTTAAATCTAGTTATAATTTTAATGGAATTGATACATTGTAAGGCCTGGACTGGGAATCTTTCTCTCTGTTCTTCCATTTACTCTTGTTCTGGAGTGTGGAAATAGTGAATGATAAACATTGCGACAACAACAATAAACGACTTTTGTTCTTTATGTTCCCTATCTTTGTGGCCTAGAATTGTGCCACATCAGGTGAGTCTTGCCGGCTTAGAAAGCTAATATTCAAAGGTCCTGACCAGTATATCAAATTTGTTACTGATGTGACAGCTTAGCTCAGTTTAGGACTGGGCCGGAAAAACTAAAATGGAAACGAGGTTATCTCGGCCCAATCTCCATTTCGGAATTGTTGCACCAACCTAGTTTACAATCAAGAGCTGGCGGTTAGTTACTAAGTCTTTTCCCACCTCCCTAAGGGTCTCAATGTGGTTAATCGATAGCCGCTCGGCAAAAAACTGACTAATTTCAACCATTAACCATAAAAAAAAGTTAACCGTATAAATTTTACTTTCAACCGCTAGCTAAAGAATGACAAAAAGTTTAATCGAGAACCGTAAAAGCCATCACCCCATTGAGACCCTTCCCCCCTTAGTATAACATTTAACTGGCAAGGGTTAACCTTCTACACCACGAGATCAGTAGAGATACTCTCCGCACTGTTCTCTATGTGATGTACAGAACAGCTGAACGGTCAAGACCTTCTTTAGTTGGAGATCAATTGCTTTATTCCCACGACTTCAACCTTTGATCCAGAAATGATAAAGGCGATGTTTGTCACACTTACGGGTTTGAGGGTTAAGTTAAGTCGTCAAAATTAAGATTACCATCTGGGACTTTGTTTTGTATCACACACGGTGCAGATATGAATCGGATATTCCTCTTTCCAGAACGCTTCGAGATGGGATGAAGGTTACCATTAAAAAAATACGTCATGAGATTGGCAGACGCTGCAACAGTGAAATGGTGGCCATCATTCTATAATAACACTAAGAAAATCTTAATCTAGTAATGAACACCTTGTTGAGAAATTATAGGAATTACGACTCGATTTTAGAACATGAAATTTGCGGTTAACAGGATGAGATTACGAGAATTAGTGGAAGGTTTATTTTAATGTTTTCAATGTTTCTCTTTACGTCTTCAATTCTTTAGTCGCTAATTTCATTCTCCCTTTGTTATTTTTAAAACAGCAAATACACCTGTGCTAATGAAGAATAAACTTGTTTTTGAGTAAAACGGAAAAAACACCTTTGATATTCGACGAGATTAACTGTCTCGTATTCAAATTTTCGTATTCTCAGTACCAATAAGAATGGTATAGAATAATACAGCAAAGCGGACGAACCTATCAGAGATACATTAGCATTCGTAAGTTCTATTCTAAGTAGCCCTGGATCTATTAAAACGAGAAAAAGGATATTGAATGTGTCTAGATCGAGATAAAACTTGATAGTCTCAAAATGACGTACTTTAAAACACAGGTGATCTTACTAACGAGAAATATATCCATGAAAGGTTTATATGCGAGGACTTCTGTTTCTTAGTTAGCTGCAATCTCCCCCATAAACGATCCCAGAAAGGCATGCATGCTATCGCCGAGGGCACCGAGCAAATCATAGAAAGCGCAAAGTGAACAGTCTTAAAAATTCATTTCTGAAACATTGAACTGCAAAACCTAAGAGAAAACTTCGGAAAGTTGCCCTGTTAATATTATGTCTTGCGCAAAGGAAATAGATTCCGTATAGCGTTTTTTGTTGTTTTTCAAATGTGGGGTGCGTTTCTTTGCTCTTAATTTACATGTCTCGAGAAAAGGAAAATGAATTCTCTAACAGCTCTTTTTTTTTTTGTTTAAATAAGAATTTCTCATTAACTCGTATGCGTTAGATCTGACTGACAGAGAGGTAAAACGGTCTATGGGTGTAACCCGTGGGTAGCATTTGTTTACTTTACCCTTTTTCAAGTTCGCGACAAGTAGAACACTTTACGAGACACAAGGGCGCGTATCTTATTCATAGCCTAGAATGCGACCACCTCTTTTTTTTTCTTTCAACTCGGTTACCCGGGTAAAGCACCAAACTGGAATTTAGCAAAAAGAGGTCGATTGCTAGGTGATTAACTGCGAGCGTTCTATCGGGTCGATCCAATTTGAGTTAAAGCCTATTTATTGTATAAGACAGCGAAAATATCTCTTAATGTTTACTTTTTCTCAAGACGCTGAAAGATAGAGACTAACGAGGCTGTGTCGCTTAATTCATTAGCCCGATTTTAAATGCATTTTCACGATCTGAGGTGATAATTTCTTCCGCTCGTCCCGGATATAAATATAGGCAAAATGTTTCCAAGACGCCTCAATGCCACTGCTTTGGTGTAAAGAAAATAAACTCTATTCTTCACGGAAAGTCGATTAGATTTCACGAGCATTTATCGAGAGTTGTTATAGGCGGGGAAATTGACATTTCCAATTTCAGCAGGAATAAAAGGAACCACATAACTTAAAACTACTAAATGGACTTTTCAAGGGCTCGCAACAATGCCCACAATAACAGCGTTTAATAAATGCAGATTAAGTTTATCGTATACATTTGCATTTGAATAAGTCGTGTCGGATATTAGTTTCAAAAAGTAAGACGTCGAAACACTGATGAAAGAGTACAGCGAGGTCAGTTAAAACCATTGAAATACACGGGATCAATCCTCTGAAAATCTATCGCATTTTTGATTGGTTTTCTGTGCCGCTGAAGGCTTCAACTTCATTTTTCTGACAGGACAAAGCTACGAATCCGATAAGGTACATTTGTTATTTTTTCTTAACAGCTGGGTGGCCTGTCATAAAAATCTCTCCTTAGACATTCCTAGTTTCCCTTATTCCCTTAACATGGAATTTGAGTTCACACAGGTAATACCTAATTCTGGTAGAATCGATGGCAATTTGGTAAAAGAAGGAATCTTCTGTTGTGTAACATCTTTGTAATTTACACCACGTTAAAACGCTTCAGTTCGAGAAAAGCGACCTGTTAATTAATGTTGCACAAGGTTAGGAGTACAAGGAAAGAGCAATAGTTTTGACCCGAGGTCATCTGAAGAGCTTGTAATTGTCAAAAACGTTTCTGTTGTTTCGACAAATGATGGCGACAAGAAGCTCTTGTATCGAATTGTAAGCGGAAAGTGTTCCATCTCTTGTTATCAGTCTTACATCAACTGGTCCTTGTAACATATCAGTGAGTTTATCGCCTAGTGTAGCTTAATTTATTTCGCTTCTTCCCTAGCTAGATTTCCTGAAGATGCTAAGAGTCCACCTCTCTCTTACCTTCTTATTTCAGTGACGATTATTTTTTCCCGTCTAAGGCTGCGAACGTAAACAAATACAACAGCAGGCCTAGTTTTATTTTCCACCGGCATTTTCGTTAAATTCACGCTGTGGAACACTTTCTCGCTTTGACGGAATTTTCTGTCATAATTGAATTTATCCTCCAATTTCGTTTGCTGCTCCTTTCTTTTTCGTCTCGTTGCCATTGCACAAAGCTACTCATTTCATTAAACATTTGACAATGGAGGGAGTCTGAAGTATTTCGCGCTCACGAAGCTCTCTTCACAGTGCTTTTACCTTCTGAAAGTTGGTTATGTTGGGAAACCAAACTACTTGCATTATTGATTAAACCTTTGAAAATAAATCACATCGATCGAGGATGTTATCAATTGAGACGTCTTCGTTTACAGAAAACCACAAAACACTTGTGCGAGAGCGTTACTTTCAGTTAAGCGAATTATATTTTTCTTTTTGTGTTAAGTTTGGCAGCGGTGTAAAGCTTCTTCGTGGCTTGTCGAATTCGTTCGAAAATCCAGCTTCTTTTGAAATAAACTGAATTATTTATTGAGAAGAAGTCTCGATTAAATGTTAATATCACTTCGGGTTCAACTAGATATATTTTACCGCGCGTTACATAAAAAAATTATCAGTACAGTTTGGCAGTTTCGGTTGAACAATAAAGTGCGATATCTATGGAAACGCGGTCCAAAAAGTTTAATTTTCTTATTTATCAAACCGGAAAAATTTTAATATACACACTGGCTGCGGCAACTTTCAAGAACGAATATCAAGAGATTTTTACCAACTAACAATCCTCTTACAGAAGATTTGAAATGATGCTTATAAATTTGTTGCGGGATTGTAAAGCTTAAAAAATTTTGGAAAACGTGTCTTCGTTATCTATTTTTAATGACGAGGTATTTTAAATACGGTAATAAAGAAAAGCACCCTCTGTTTCAGAAGGCAAAATAAAAACCCATTTATACTGATTTTGTTCAAAGGTAAATCAACGAATATTGTTTTGGATTTGTTTGAGCAGTTTAGTCTGGAATGAGCTTTCCTGTGGAGTGTTGTGAATGAGGATGTAGCGGAAGGAAAGCAAATAGTTTAGAAAGAAGTCGTATGAATTCAATCCACATATTATGTTTTCAGCGCGGCCTTAAATTTACTTGTCCTCTCCAATTCGTTGAGATTATTGGACATAATTGCAGAGGCCCATGTTTAAACTCAATTTCCAGTTTAAATCGCAGCCATGATGAAACTTACAAATATTTTTAGATGCTAGATGGCATGG